TCATCAATCATCAGCAGTTTCAAAGTCACTTAGAAAAACAATTAGTAGATGCATAATATTTTTTGGGCTATCCTTACATTTTTATGCCATCAACCTACAGTTAAAAATATAATAAACTTTTTGTGTGTGTGTGCTTCAGCTGTTTTTTATTGACACACAGGTAGGCTCTATAGCAACAGGTCTGGAGATGGTTGCAGAAGTTGGGAAAATGGAAGGTGGCGGGTGGAGTGTTTGTCTGCATCACCAGCTGAGCGGAGTGAAGGAACAGAAGAGCGCACAAGGAGGAATGGGGGAGGCTGAGGCTGTTGGAGAAGCAGGTATGGGCCAGGGCCAAAGGCTCTATACATTGGAACCTTGGCCCTGTGTCTTAGGCCCCTTACCCTTGCTGGCTGCTGTCTCCTGACTCTAGGCCAGGGCTGGGAGTCCTCTGGATAACACTTTATACAGGAACAAAGTACACAGAGATGTTGCTGCCCTCTTGTGATAACCTCAGAGGGCCTCCAATTCTGCATTCCTCCTTCATCCCTGGCTTGGACAGGGCCACACAATGGTCAGCTGGACTCTGTGCCATGTTTCACAGAGGCATTAACTTTCCTTGGTGTCCCAGCCCACCAGTGCCACACTACAGCCCAGAGTAAGCGCTACAAGCAATGCTGGCCTAATAATAAACATTTTTATATATAGTTGATTATTTCTTTTTTTTCTTTTTTTTAAGACAGGGTCTCACTAAGTAGTCCAGGCTGACTTGGAACTTTCTTCTTTTTTTTTTTTTTGAGACAGGGTCCCACTAAGTAGTCCAGGTTGACTTGGAACTTGCTAGAACTCACTATTTTCGCTATTTTCCCCCAGACCAGGCTGGATTTGGACTTACTGAGATCTGCCTGCCTCTGCCTCCCAAATGCTGGGATTAAAGGCATGTACCAGCTGATTACTTCTTTATGCTTAATGCCTAAGCTGGAATTGCTTTGTTTTTCAATTTTTTTATTTATAGGAGGGAGGGTGACGGGCATGTGTGGAGTCAGAGGACAAGTTGCAGGAGTCAGTTCTCTCCTTCCATCTTTTGGGTCTCAGGGCTCAAACTCAGGCTTTCAGGCTTCCTAGGCAAGCACTTTTATCTCCTGAGCTCTTTTGCAGGCTGCTTTGTTCTGTCTTAAATAACTAAGGTGACCTAACAAGCTCCCAAATCTCCTGAGGTCCCTTTGTCAGTCTGGGATGCTTACTTGACTCCTGCCTGCTCTGAGGCTCATCTGTTTTATAAAAATGACCGAATTTTGGGTTGGGCTCTGGGCAGTGGTTGGTGACTAAAGAAGGATGTGAGAAACTACAGCAGTCGTCAGCAGGCTGATCTCAACTCTGGGCTACCTTCGTCAAAGGGAATTCTTATTTGGGTAGGTCCTGAAAGTTAAAGGCAAGGTTTAAAAAGTCACTGAGCAGGCGGGATGCAGGCTAGCTAATTTATTTTAACAATACCAATGCCAAGACTGGTTCTAGGGATACAGAGATGAAGAAAACACCGAACCTGGGCCACAGGCTCCTGATCTGGTGCGACACACAAGTAAATAGATATTAATCCTGTAGTGATGAGGAGTTGTAAGTTGGGAAAGTACAGTTCTAATAAAAGCACAGATGAGGGGGCTGAAGAAATGGCTCAGTGGCTAAGAGCACTGGCTGTTCTTCTAGAGGACCAGTGGTTTGGTTCCCAGCGCTCACATGGCAGCTCACAACAGTAACTCCAGTTCTCGGAGGTGTGACTGACCCCCTCATTGCACCACATGGGTGCATTTACGTACATGCAGGCCAAACACTCATATACATAACATAAAAATAAATGAATCCACCGGGCTTGGTGGCTCACGCCTTTAATCCCAGCACTCAGGAGACAGGCGGATCTCTGTGAGTTCAAGGCCAGCCTGGTCTACATAGTGAGTTCCAGGAAAGCTGAAGCTACAGGGAGACCCTGGCTCAAAAAAACCAAAAAAAAAAAAAAAAAAAGAATCCAAAAACCATTTAAAAAAGAGCACAGATGCAATTTTATATCTCCTTCCAACAAAGTTTTATGCAGTATATACACTTGTATATAAATATAAAATTCATTTATTCATCTTCCTTCCTTTTTCCTTCAGTATGCCTATAATTTAAAGGTGTATCACCAAGTATCCTATACCAAAAGAGTAGCACAGAACCAGAGAGAAGGAGACTAATTTACAAAACAAGAAAGTAGAATTTACCAAGCTTTGTGATCAATTGTCCAGGAGTGAGACACAAAATTAAGGATGACTCCTAGATTTTTGGACCATGTGTCTGGGTAGATGATGACATCATTTGATTTAGCCTGCCCCCTCCCCTCCTTTTAATTGAGGTAGTAATATTGCTGTGTTTCCCATACTGGCCTCAAACTCCCAGACTAAAGTGAGCCTCCTGTGTCAGCCTTTGGAGTAAACAGATCTACGAGTGCATGTAAGCATGCGTGGCTTGGCTCTAGGTTTAAAGCACAAAGAACATTTTCATTAGAGATGATCCTAAATGCACTTGAAGAAAATAGAATAGTGGCATTCTAAAGGTTGTCTATGCATAAAAATCAAAATGGGGAATTCTACCAGGATGGGAATAATGAGATACTTTAAAATCACTGGAGAGTAGTAAAAAAAAATCAATGTAAAATTGAATGAGATCACCAAACTGATTGACAGCAAGCTAAGATGGATTAAAATAAAAAGATATACAGTAGAAGCAAGCAAGCAGAGAGAAAAGTGAGCAAGGAAGAGGGAAAATAATAGGATGAAATTGTAGCAAAAAAGATCAAAATGATTTTTACATTTATTTATTGTGTGTGGGTGCATGTCTGCCTCCTGTGTGGAAGTCAGAGGAGAACTTGAGGGAGTTGATTCTCTCCTTCCACCATATGGGTTCTGGTCATCAAACTCAGATCATCAGGCTTGACCCTTTACCTGCCAAGCTATTGACAAACAAATTTTAAGTAAATTACTATGCTCAAGCAGCTTCCATCAGTAACAGAGTTTGAACAGCAGGGGAGAAAGTGTGAGGCAAGAAAAAACTGGTCTTGGGAACAAATGAATCATCTTCATGTAGTAGCTACTCCCTAGATAGCATGATTATTCATAAACAAATGCAGATTTTCTGCAGTGGTAGTGAGCTGGGCTTGGAAAGCACAGTGCTAATGTTAGGTTGCAAACTTGACCTAAATTAAAGGGCTCATTTCTCTAGGTGGAAAATTTTAACAACAGTAACTCACCTTACAAACGTTTTCTTAAAATTGTAGGAAATGCTGTTAGGGTAGTCAGATAAGAGACTGAAGGAATCTTAGGGTCTACTTTCAGCTTTCCTTAGGTTGGATGTACTTCACAAATAAAATGGTGGTGCCTAACTCATAGAGCTCTGTGAGGATGAATCACAGTTTCCTTCTGAGCCTGTTTCTGATGTTATAAAAAGGGGATAGTGATTTTTTTTTTCTAATGTGACTCAGAAGTATGTGGCAAAGGCACAATTGGGACTGTACAGGAACAGCTTTCATTGACGAGATGAGAACTGCTAGGTTATATTTTCTCTGGGTGGTTGCTCAATTATTTGAACATTTACTGAAGACCGTATGTAATTTTCTCATTATGAATTGTTACTATTAGGCCATAATCTAAGGTAAGGTAAGACTGCCTTCCAATATTTTCATGCAGAAAACTGTTCTGATTCTATGCTGGTATCTGCTGTGCTACAGAATATCAAAGGGTCCAGTGTGTTAGGCCTTCTTATTCAGTGGAAGGATGTTAGACAAATCCATTAGAGAAATTTTGGGAAATTTCACCCAGACCAGGGATGATGAAGGACAACTTTTTGATAGGAACACATTCAAAGAGGAAAAAAACCAAAACCAAAACCAAATGGGCACAATCTCTAGATTAAGAAAGACTGAGTGTTACGGTGTTCTGGAGTTAACAAAAACTGGAACGACAGGCCAGTTCTTTCAACTCTAATCTTCACAACTAGCAAGGCAGGAAGGCAGGAGAAAGCCCAGGTCCAAAATGTTACATAACTTGCCAGGATCATAAACCTGATGTAACAGGAATTGGTGTCAGGATCTGCCTGATACCAAAGTCTTTGCTCATATAATATATTGCTCTCCCTCCAAAAAAAAAAAAAAAAAAAAAAAAAACAAACAAAAAAACCCCTGTATTTGGAAATTTGGGGGGTGGCAGAGAATTGAGCTATTTCCTTACTTCCCTTCTGTTTTTGTTGTGATGTTTGCACCCTAGAGGCTGAGCGGGATCACACAGGAGGCATCTGTAAACAGATGATACCATAACCCCAATATACACACAATTTCCTTCTTTCAGAGTCCTACCTAGGATCTGGCAGGGGTGGGAGAGTAGAAGTGGAGCGGGGAGGGGTTAGTAAAAGGTGGATTCTTTTCTTACCTTTTTTTTAAATCAATTTCAGGGCAACCCGCTGGTTATTCTCTTGGTCAGCACATTGTTTTCCTCCCTATTTTGTGGGGGTTGGGGGTTGATGGTGTCTGTAGCAAATTTCTGTACCTGTATCAACACGGTAGCTCTAAAAAGTTAAGGTCAAAGATTTCTTTACCTCTTTGGGGAAGGGGTTGTGCATATGTTCTGAGCTAATGGGGGGGTCATCGGGTCACTCTCCTTTCATACTGACCACACCGAAGAATTAGAGGGAGCCCCCTTGTCTCCACGAGAAAGGAAACCAGCTGCCCTCACACTGCCGCTCTCAGGTGACGGGAGCATTCACGTACCTTCGCGAGGGAAGGACACGGTGCTGGGGTCTGACTGGGGGTGGGGCTGGTGGCAACCCTGGGCTTCCGGCTCCCGGGACGCGCGGCGCAGGGCACACGGCCCGCCACCCCCAGGCCGCTCTGCCTCGTTCCCGACCGCTCGTGCCCGGCGCGGCCGCCGCAGTCCCGGCGCCGTAGCCGGACGTGGGGTGCAGGGGGCGCTGTGGCCCAGCGGCGCGGGCGGCTGGAGCGGCCACCTCGGAGGCTTCGCAGAGGCTCTCCGCCTGCTGCGCCTCGTTCGTCCCGCCACAGCCTGCGCCCCCGGCCGGGCTCGGCGGCGCTCCCCGGGACCCTCCTGGTTGCGGCGGCTCGGGAGCCTATGCTGCTGGCCCGGCGCTGGGCCTCAGCCGCCGCCGCAGCCACAGCAGCCCTCCGGGAGTGCGAGGCTTGGTGCCTCTGAGGACGAGATTTCGGCTGAGGGACGACCCCCGGCCATGGTGAGGCGGCGGCCGCAGCTCGAGGTGAGTGAAACTCGCCGCAGTCCCGTGCTCGCCCGCTCGCGCCGCTGGGAGCTCTGGCGCCAGCCCTCAGGCCGGGCGGACGGACCGTCCTGCTCCTGCGGCCGCCGCCTGCACCCCGCAGCTTCGGGGCCGCGGCCCTTTCTCCCCGCGTCCCCCGGGAGGGTGGAGGCCGGCGGGGGCGAGTAGGCCCCGCGCTGCGGGGAAGCCCTCGGCCCGGCCTGGGTTCCGGCGCGGCCCGGTACCTGGAGACCTGGCGGGCCGCCGCACCGGTGTCCTCTGCAGTTGTCCCGGGCGGGGCCGAGCGCCCGTTCCTACTCCCGGCCCTGCGAGCACGTTCCGGAGGGAGGCAGAGGACGGTTGTTTGCAAACAGTTCTGGCTTCTCTGCTTCCCATTCTGAGCTCCGCAGAGCAACCCCCAGGGCGGGGGGCAGGGGTGAGTATGGAGGTGCAGAGCGTGCGGGGCCCGAGAGACCCTGATACTCCTGGAGTGGCGTTCACGCACCTCGCTAGAGAAACAAACAGCCTTTTGCATCTTATCTGAGGTGAGATTTCATCACCTGCCGCTAGCTCATCCCTTCTGGTATTACATCTTGTTTCTAAGCGTGGTCTGTCTCAGAGAAAGCCCCATTCCATTTTTGCGACGCTAAGTTTCCTAGATAAGCACTCAGTTACAAAAATAGCTTTTATGAAGCTGTCTCCCCAACCCTCAAAAAGACGGCAAATGTTTTAATGCTTCCGTCCTTGGTACAGAAATGTTCCACCTGAGTAGGAAAGGACGGCAGGAGGATTTTAAGTCGTGCCAACAATCCCAATAGCAGGTATCTGATGAAACGTATAGTCTAAATTGAATAAAAATGATTTTATTATGCTGTTAATGTAGTAAAAGGTGATTGCACTTCATACCGTAAGTCAGATATTTAAGTGCTTCTTATTTATGATAAATGTAATTATGTAAAGGTTATTCTTGTTTTCCCATTATTGTAAGATTTATAGATACTCTAAAACTTTTTAACCACGAAAAAATAAATACATTGTAGAAACATTGGAAAGCACAGAAAGGTATTGACTTTCAATAAGTAGTAATTGGAGAGCCGATCACTTGTGATCTCACAATACATTTTGATGGTCAATTCAGAGTTTAAAATGGAACTGTACTGATGGTAAGTTTTAAAATTATTTCTTTGTGTTAGATTAAAAATTGGTGACAGTCATTTGTATAAGACTTATGGAATGTTTTACCAAATTACATTGGAACCTTAGTTTAAGCCATCAACTAGAACTGAACATAGGTAGCAGAACCATAGTTTGTCACCAGCTAAAACTAAATATGGTAGTTGCTATAAGACTCCGGACTTAACCTTCCTATGCAGCGTCAGAAGCTCTGAAGTCTCCTTAGAGAGGGTTGCGTGGTAAGCATTTTTCAGGACCTTGAGTGTTAGATGATGTAGCCTTGTGTTTATCAGATTTTGTGTATTTTTAGCTGTAAAAAATTGATTTGATTAAATTTTTCAGTTAATTTGGGTTTTAAAAGTCCAATTTCTCAGTGTATCTCTGAAGACCAACGTTAGGATCAGTTGGGCATGATGATTAAAGTATGCTGATTTCTAGTCCCTTAAATCAGAATGTGGAGATATTAGTGACTGGACTATCTTGATTTTTATCAATCTTCCTGATTCTTAGTACTACTAAAGTTTGAACATCATTGATAAAAATGAACAGATTTGTCTAGGTGAATGAAAGCATCAACTCTCTAGCAAAACTATCATTCTTAAGTGACTGACAGATATTTTTCATAGCAACAGATAATGGTGTTACAATGCTAGACAGAAAAACAGTGTTTTGAGGGACAGCTGTTTCAGTCAACAAACACTGAGATCCAACAGTGGTAGTGTTATGTAGGGCACTCATCTTGGAACTTAATAAACTTCAGTATTATTGTCTGTAAAATGCTAATGGTTATACTTAATTTACAAGGTTTTTAGGAGAAAGCATCCTAAAACGTATTGAATAAAAGATTTTATAATTTTAGCTATTAATAATGTCAGGTTCTGTCTTAGGTATTCTGGGAAATACAAAAATGACCAAGACTTCTGCTAGCAATTAGCTAATTGTGGAAGCAGGACAAGTTTAACTGTTACAAGGCAGGGTCAGAAAGGTGTTGTATTGAGTAAAATGAGCTAGATCTCTGCTTAGGGCTTCTGTGTCTAATCCAGTATCTTTCCCTTCAAGAGCATTGGTAAGGGATGGGAGGCGGCTCGGTGGAAAAGCATTTGCTTAGATAAACAAGCCCCTGGGTTTAGTTTCCAGGACTGAAAAAAAATTCATATGTATTATTCCTTCCCTTTCTAATCCTTGATTCAGTGTTTTAAGGAAATAATTGCATATGTTACCTGGAAAGTGCTAGTTTTATAATAACTCCTTAATAAAGAAAGAATGAATGGAGATGATCCATACCTTCCGTGGTTGCTAAGCTACTACTATTCCATTCACTAAAGTTTTTGGTACATCTTTGGTACTGACTGCAGATGGTTGGTTGCAAGGTACAAAGCTTGATTAAAAGATAATTGCCGAGGTTTTAATTTAAGTTCTTTTGTTTCTAGGAGTGGTATAGGTGTGTGTTTTATGATTTTTAATTGTATGCTGTGGTGAAGAGTACTGAGTCAGGTGTGAACAGGAATCCTTGCTACATGTCTTAGAGCAATGTGACACTTAGGCTCCAAGCTTCTTGTATTCTCTTGGAGTAACAGTACCCCTCCCAGGGAAGTAGAGCAGGTTCTGTGAGATACAGGTCATCAAAAACAATTACCTCAGTGGCTGTCACATGGATGGGACAGAGTAAATGTTCATTTCCGTTTTGGGGGGGGGGAATAAAAACAAACTAGGTCTTGAATATTCTGTGTGACTTAAAACTTGGTAACTTTGGGGCTGGAGAGATGGCTCAGCAGTTAAGAGCACTGGCTGCTCATGCAGTGAACCTGGGTTTGGTTCCCAGCACCCACATGGTGGCTAACAACCAACCGCCTGTAAACTCCAGTTCCGGGGGAATCCAATGCTCTCTTCTGACCTACTTGGGCACTGCATGACATGGGTGTACTTACATGCATACAGGCAATACACTCACACAGGCTGGCCTGTATCTCATAGAGATCCTCCTGCCTCTGCCTCCTAAGCACTGGGACTAAAGACCTGCACCACTGTACTCTGCAGGAAACAGTTTTGAGTCTACCTTAGTGCACTATTTTCCACTTAATTTTTTGTTAATAAACTAATATCCCATTTTTATGATGCATTTGTTTACGAATTCATTTTCAGTTTTGCATTAGTTTTTTTAAAATTTATTATTTTTATTTTATGTATATGCATGTATTGCCTGCATGTAGGTAAGTGCAACCATGTTGTACAATGCTTGTGAAGGTCAGAAGAGGCTGTTGAATCCTCTGGGAGTGGAGTTACAGACAGTTGTTAGCTGCCATGTAGGTGGTGGGATTCGAACCCTGGTCTTCTGTAAGAACAACCAGTGTTCTTAACTGCTGAGTCATCTCTCCAGCCCCTTGCATTAGTTTTTACTATTATGCATTCTTGGTATATAATGAGAATTGGAAAATACATAGTTGCAGATGCTGAAAGAAATAGTTCATATACTTCATTTTCAAACATTAATTTGTTGAGCATACTCAAAGAATTGAAGAATATTCTTTAAAACACAAACTTTTTCTTATAATCTGAATGGATGAGAAATAAAATTTTATAACTTGCCATATATGTGTTCCAATCTTCTAACTTATTGTGACCTTGGACAGTTTTTTTAACCTTAAGATTTAATTTTTTCTTAATTAAAAATGAAGCTGATAGTACCCATTTTATAAGATTATTGTGAGGATTAAGTGATATAATGTGTAAATCATACCTACTGTTCAGTCCCATGGGTAACTAAGCTTTACTCCAGAAATGGAAAATATATTTGAGCTTAAAAAGCTTAAAAGATTATTATTTATCCAGTTTGATGCTAAAAAATAAAGCCAGCATGATTGATTACAAAGCATTGCCAAAATAAGGATGAAGTGTCAGAATTAGTATTTTGATTATGTGTTACTACACTGTGTTATACTTTATCATAAATTTTATTTAATGAAATAATTTCAAAATGCTATTTATAAAATATTTTCCATTTTGGGGCTGGAGAGATGGCTCAGCGGTTAAGAGCACTGATTGCTCTTGCAAGGACCCAGGTTCGATTCCCAGCACCCACATGGCAGCTACAAACCATCCTTAACTCCAGTTCCAGGGGAATCCAAAGCCGTCTTCTGACCTCTGCAGCATTACACGACACAGGTGCACTCACATACATGTAGGCAATACACTCATACACATAAAAATAATAAAATATTTTCCAGTTTACAGTAGTACTTTAAGTTTTTTCTTTTCTTGTTTTTTGAGACAAGTTCTTGTGTAGCCCAGGCTAGCCTAGAACTTGCTGCTTAGCTGAGGATGACCTTGAACTTCTGATCCTCTTACCTCCACATCCTGAGTGCAGGGATTACAGGCATGCATCACTATGCCTGGTGTTTTAGTTTTCCTTCGATTGCCGTGATAAAAACACTGACCAAAACCAATTTGGGGAGGAAAGGGTTTATTTGGCTTACCGCACAGTCCATCATCAAGAGAAGCCAAGGCTTACAGTAACTCAGGGCAAGAACCTGGGACACAGACCATGGAGGAATGCTGCTTACTGCCTTGCTCCCTGGCCCCTGCTCAGCCTGCTTTCTTATACAATACAGGCCAACCTGCCCAGGGGTGGCACCACCCACAGTGGGCTGGGCCCTCCCACATCACTCAACAATCAAGAAAATGCCCCACAGACATGGCCACAGGCCAGTCCAAAGGAGGAAGTTCCTCAGTTGAGAGTTGGTCCATCCAGGTGTGTCAAAGTTGACAATTTAAGCTCTTCAGCATATTCAGCTTAAATTATTTTAAATAGCCCACTTACAGAAATGAACTAT